AACTTCTTTTTCTTAGATAAGTCCCTTTAACATTTCATATAATAAGGGCTTGGTGATGATGAATTTCTTGAATTTGATCTTATCTGAGAAGCACTTTATCTGTCCTTCCATTCTAAATGAAAGTTTTGCTGGATAGAACAATCTTGGTTGTAGGTCTTTGGATTTCATGACTTGGAATACTTCTTTCCAGCCCCTTCTTGCCTGTAAGGTCTCTTTTGAGAAATCAGCTGACAGTCTGATGGGAACTCCTTTGTAGGTGACTGTCCCCTTATCTCTTGCTGCTTCTAGGATTCTCTCCTTCATTTTAATCTTGGCTAATGTAATGATGATGTGCCTTGGTGTGTTCCTTCTTGGGTCCAACTTCTTTGGGACTTTCTGAGCTTCCTGGATTTCCTGGAAGTCTATTTCCTTTGCCAGATTGGGGAAATTCTCCTTTATTATTTGTTCAAATAAGTTTTCCACTGGTGGCTGTTCCTTCCCCCTTCTGGTACCCCTATAATTCGGATGTTGGAGCGTTTAAAGATGTCCTGGAGATTCCTAAGACTCTCCTCATTTTTTTTGAATTCTTGCTTCTTGACTCTTTTCTGTTTGGCCATTATTTGCTTTCTTCTGGTCCACTCCATTGATTTGAGTCCCAGTTTCCTTTTCATCGCTATTGGTTTCCTGTGCAATTCCATTCATTTCAATTAGTTTTGCTTTCATATGTTTCTCTAATTTGTGGTTATAATCAACCAGTTCTTTCAGGATCCTGATCACCAGTGTTTTAAACTGTGCGTCTGTGAGTTTTGCTATTTCTTCATCGCTTAGATTTATAGGCTCTGGGGCTTTGAGATCTTCTTGAGGCATTTTTGGTCTGTTCGCACCCATTATGTGTGAGAAGCGGAGCCTTGGACTCCCAGGTCACTGGGTTATGACGCTATATGTGGAGGCGGGGTCAGATCGGGGAAATGATGGCACCCTCTGCTGCCGCGGGGAGCCTGCTGAGTCCCGTCTAATTGCCTACTCCTTCGCTTGTCTATCTGCACAGGAATGCGCGACCACAGTCGACCCTCAGCCCTGCTCCCTCGCTGTTTCCCCGAGGTTGCTCGCTGTGTAGCTCACTGGGTCCAACCCTGCACCTGGATTCCACGCACCTAAGTCCGTGTGACCGAGTTTTCCTGTGCAACCCTGCTCCGCCAGCTGCTGGTTTCACCCCTCTTACAGGTCAGGCTGAAGAATTTGTTGTTATCAGACTTCCGAAAAGTTCAATTTTCTGTGTTCTGACTTTGTTTTCTGTTGCTAATATTTAGTTGTCTCTAAACTTGGTTGTGTGAGAAAGCACGACGTCTCCACTTATGCCTCCATCTTGGCGGAAGTCTCCCAGCGTCTCTTCCTGAATTTTTATTTCACAAATGCTTAGTGCTTACTGTGTGCTAGGCACTATAGCAATAGCTGTATGAAACTTCCCTCATTTAATTGTATAAAAACCTGATGAAGTGGGTATATTAGTATTCCTACTTGATAGAGGAGAAAGCTGAGGCACAGAAAGATTAAGTAACTTGATCAAAGTCACATGGATGGAATGTAGCAAAGCTGGTATCTTAACCCCAGCCATTTTGCTGCAGAAGTTGTGCTCATAAGAGCTTTTATATAACCATAAAATAACAGGTTATTACTCCCTCATCACTGGACAATCCTAACTGCCCAGATATTTTGCTTTTCATTCAAATACTATTTCCTTCAAATAGATACTTTGAGGGTGACCTCACTATTGTAATTTTCTTTCCACAATGAAATGTTTTCATTTTCAAGGTGCATCTGCATATTCCCAGGATTTCATTTCCCTCCCAAGTTATTTTCCCAAAGGAAAAAGATGTGATATCTGTTTTCTTTGAAAAATCTAAAAGTAAAACACAAGAACAACAACAAAAAGACCCCCAACCAATTGATGTTGTGCTGCCTTTGTATCTCAGACACCCTGGGGCCCAGGGCACAGCCCTGTAGACCTCTGAGACACATTTCCTGGGATTTTAGGGTGAGGATCATTGAAATACAAGGGTGAGAATTCAAAAATATTATTTAACTATTGTTCACCAGAGCCACAGGCAAACATAGGAAGAGACAGAACCCTGAGAGGCAGAGCAGAAATATCTGAGCATGTTGGTGGAAGAAAAGCCAATGTATAGGACAGTCTCTTGTATTTGTTGGGGTGGCTATGGAAGATGCTGGAAGCTTTCTGCCCCAGCACTAGCACTTTGACAGATCTGGGTATATGGGAGCCTACCACGGCAGGGATAGGGTAAGATTTTGGAAAACAGCACCTGGAGGTTTTTTTTTTCCTAGAAAAATGAAAACCACATGTGTAACTAAGGAGAAGCATGCCATTCCATGGAGAATTTCCTATTCATACCTGAGGAGAATGAAAATCTTCTGTGAACTCTGTTCCTGCCTTTGTGTCCTTATGCTAATGATTCTGGTATTTCATTGTTTGTGGAGGCCATAGGAAGGGAGGGTTTTGCTTTGGAAAGATGAAGACAAGAGCATCAGGCCTCCTGCTGGCTTGGATGAAATGAAGGGGTTGAGACCAAAGCAAAAAGACACAAACTTTTGGAGGTTATGGGAAAAAGGCAGGTTTCTGAATAAAACCATATCATGTGCCTTCTCTGAAACACTACTGCCCATCTGCAGCCATACCAGCTCAGTCTAGAGTCTCTCAGAACTTGCTAGCACAGAACATCAAAGCCTACAACAATCCTGTAACCCCGTAACACCCCTGTCCGTGAAGCCTCCACTGTGTGTCACCACCATAAAAGTTCAGGGGACTTAAAAAAAAGATCTTATTTATTTATTTTTAGTTAGAGGGGAAAGGAGGGAGGAAGAGGGAGAGAAACATCAATGTGTGATTGTTTCTTGTGTGCCCCCTACTGGGGACCTGGCTGGCAACCTAGGCATGTGCCCTGACTAGAAATTGAACCGGCAACCCTTTTATTCGAAGGCTAGCACTCAATCCACTAAGCCATACCATCCAGGGCTTCTATTCTTTTTTAGTAGCTGGTTCTACCACCCAGTGCCTGCCCAGACTAGTGCACAAATTCTCAGCCAATCTGCAGATGCATAAGTGAAAAATAAATTTTAACCATTATATATCACTGAGTTTGGGGGTTGTTTTTTACACAGCATTGTTATCAGTGGCAATAGTTAACTGATATTCTATTCCTATTTAATAAGTCATGGAATCTTATCATTCAATGGAATCCTCTTTGGGAAATGCTAAGTCACTGTTAGTAAAAAGCCAAGCCAGAGTCACATTCAAATCTTTGAATTCCAAAGCCTGCTTGCCTCACTGCATTAAGTTGAGGGAGATTAGCGCCAATGGCCTCCAGGGTTGGAAGGCTGCCCTGATATGTGTGTTTTGGGAATTTCTAACTGCAAGAAGAAATACAGGGGGTGAGGTAGGTGAGGGTCATAGACTCTCAAGGCTGGCAATTTGAGGTGGGGTTGGAGCCCTCAAATAGAGGTACCAGAAGCAAGAAACCCATATATGAGGCTGTAGCTCATCCAAGGCCAAATCCTTGGAAGCACTGGATTGCTGAGGTTATAATCTCAGATTTTGTTAGGACTGCTTTCAAGTTCTTTCCGTTCTCAAATGTGCAGAAGCACATTATTTCCAAGGTCCTTGTCAGAAACCTAAATTTGTACCAATTTGCTGAGTCAGTACAAAGTGCAGAATTGATGGTACAGAACGATATTAAACAACCTACAACCCTTTAGACCATGTCAACAGATCATCCATAGCCTCAACTGTAGAAACATTTCATTAAATCCTTGCAGTTTCTCCCCAAAGTCTTGGAATGCCCTTCTATCATTTATAAACAGATGGAGGCCTGGCATGATTTTCACTGTAGCTAGGGCAGTGGATTCGCCTGAGCTAAGCTCTAGAGAGGGTCAGTTAATCTTTATCCAAGAAATATGTCTTGAGCACCCTTGGGTGGGGGCTGCAATACTCCACTGGATACAGGGAGCCCAGCTCGGGGCAGAGAGAGGTGGGCCAACAACAGTTATAATGCAGTGTGATGAGTGTGTTGGTGAGATCTGAGGATTCTTTATAGGCAGACAAGTAACTGTTGGGGGCTGTCAATACAAAGGCTATTATGAAGCTCCCTCCACTCTGCGAAATAGAGGTTATAGAACTACTCCCACTGTTAAGCAAGGACAATGTGCATGGAATGGGTGTGATTCTTTTCTATAGGGTGAAAACCACCCAGGGATTATGATGGGCTGATGGAGTGCATGAGTTCCAAGATGCCAACCTATGGTGAATAGGGGCATGACCCGGGAGGTGGTCCTAGAATGTGACTGGAAATTAAGAAATGCTAAATTGATAAATCTAATCCCTTGTTTTAAGCCATGTTTGGGAAAACAACAAAATACAAAGAGGTTGGTTAGCCATGGAGACTTCTGGAAAAATAACACTTGACACTAGTAGAGGCTGTTGGGGCCCAGTGAGCAACTCCAGGGGAGAGGTCTTGGCCCAGGGTCCTTGGGCTTCAGTTTTCCTCTGTCCAATAGCCAAGGGAAGAGCTCTAGGACTCTGGTGAGGCAAATGAGGCACCAGGGCACAAACTTAAGGAGGCACTCACTGTCAGGGTCATGGAAACACAGGGTAGGTACTTGACAGTTGAGTGAGCCCTGCATGCCTCCCTTGCTTCACCTGAGTCCCAGCCCTGGCAGAGAGGCTTAAGCCCCAGTTCCAGATTTGGGAGGTGTGGTTTGAATGTCGGCTCAGTCATTTATTAGCTCTGTGATCTTGAGCCAGTTCTTAAATCTTTAAACTCCCATCTCCCCACCTGTAAATTAAGGACAAAGTCCCAATCTCAGAGAGGGATAAAAACAAATGTTACTTGGTGAGTAATAAGCATAGAGCCTTCAGTAAATGGTTATGATTAGCTAGGCAAGGCATCCTCTCTGTTGAGAAAGAGTCCTCCTTCAGGCTTATACAAGAGATGTTTCTTAAGGTCACTGTAAGGTCTTGGCAGGAGAGATACCATGATCACAAAGGTGGTATTCCCAGGGTGAGGCTTATCCATTGCATTCCTGATGTGCTTACCCTTCTGATTTCCCCAAATGTGGGAAAGTTGACTGCACAATTTGTGGTAGTGGGGAACTGCATCTGCATTCTCCCTTATTAAAAAAAAGGACACTGTAGTAGATGATAGGATGTGTCACACAGGTTCCCCTTCAGGACTACAGGACTGACTTCAACAGCTGCTGAGAGAACTGCTGGCAGGAATACCTCAGCTGTCCACCCTGCAGGAATTGCCTTAGCTGTAGAGAGCTGTCTCTTTCCAGGATGACTCCCTCCTTAGGGAAGTCTGCATCCAATGGCTGATCATCGGAGGGTACACAGGCCGAGGACCCTCACCCCGACTTGGGACAACTCTGAAAGGCCTTTTCAGCTCCAAAGACCCCATGGAATTGGTTGAGGCCTCTCAGTGTGTACATGGCAGCCAGAGTTCTTTCTCTGCCCAATCCAGCTTCCCTCATTCCCCGTTGGCATTCACTCTAAGAGCTCTCCTTCATAAACTTCTGGCCCTTCACATACCTACTCCTCTCAAAGTCTACTTCCCAGGTAGCTTGTTCTTCAGTAATCATCTCACTCCCTCCTCCTCTTTCTCTGCTTACCATATTAATCAGGATTCTTTTGGTTGTAAACTTAGGTTAAAAGAACAATATGTTGGATCACAGAATTCTAGGGAAGTTGGGAAGTAGGAAAAAATGGAAACCATTGCGTCTCCACAGTGGAGACATGAATGCCACCAAGATGCTTTCCTTTCCTCACATCTGCGACTCTCTATGTGCATGTTATTCTCTTATGTGTCTATAGCTTCTGAATTTTGCATCTGAAATCCCAGTCTGCTTGAGAAAAACCAACTCTTTTCTAATTTAGAAAATTTCAAGAAACACTTCTGATTTGGCACCTTTTGGGTCAGGTGCTACTCTGGACCAATTAGCAAAGCCTAAGGACCATGTAAAAAAATGACCGCTCCCCTGGGCTACCAGGTGGGACAGTTGACAGAGAAAGAGGGGGAAGAAGAAATTGGCAGATAAAATAAAAGGTATTTACTTGTAGAGAATGTTTTCATATTTTTGGTTACTTGGAATCTCAACCTCCTTTCTCTGAATCTAGGTAGGAGGCAGAGCCCCCTGTTACTCAAGCAGCTAAAACTGCATGGTTCTTAGTGTAGCAGAACTGTTGTGTACACACATAAGCACTCATAACTCAACACTCTTCTTTGTGCCAATGTAAGCATGTGTGACTCTCCATGCAGGGCAGGCTGGATGGGCAGGGAAATGGATATCTCCCCTAGGAGTTAAGGCTATCCTCAACCAATGACAGATGGGAAGTGGTAGATCAAAACTCCAGTTTCCTCACTGCCTAGGTGGGGCAACTTCAAGAGGGTCTATACTGCCTCCCAGAGGTTCTAAGGAAGAGAATGAGCCCCAGTTGCCCACAGTGATGACCTACTCCATGACATTTCCTTTCTCAGCTTCTCCCTTTTCCTATACCTCACTTCCCTATTGTACTTCCTTGATCACTTTCCAGATAAACTGCTTGCACTCCAATACTTATCTTAGGTTTTCCTCTGGGGAAACCCAAACTCAGACAATTGCCTTTCCAACGTTCCCAGTGGAAAAGCCATGAGCACTAAAGTTCAGCCAGTCAGATATACCTGCCATAGATTTGAGTCTGGAGCCAACAACAGTGGGAAATTCTTTCTGGCAGCAGCAGCCATGGTGGTTGCAACATTCTGTTTCCAGCAGACACCAGTGATCAAAGGAGTCAAGTGTGTCATCTCTTGGCAGTACATGCTGGTGCTCTAGCTGACTAGGGTCTGGTTCCCCAGCCACTCTCTAATCCTACCTGCTTTCCAAGGATAGTTTCACAGCTTTCCTGGCAACTTGGTGAATGAACCATTTAATATTGCTTCAACAATCCCTTTAATGCTCCAATTAAGCCAGGCTTCGTTCTAAAAATCAAGCCACTGTCAGCTACTGTGGCTGCCCAGATCATTTGCTCATAAGCAGAGAATGTAATTGTCAGGCTGGCGGGGATGTTTGGCATCACTCTGCATTAGTCTGATTAGTCATTCTGTTTTGTCGATTTAAGTCTCTGTTGAGCTGGAGGAGCAGGCCAATCCATTCTCAGGGGGCTGAGAGCATTTGGTTCCTAGTTCTGACTGCCACCAAAAGTGGGTTCACCAAAACACCATCTCAGAGGACAGCAGGCATACATCATTCCTGCATGTCTCTTGAATCAAGGCTCTTCTTACTTGAAACAGCAGCACTAAGAGTTCCACCTACTACCCAAGCAGACTCACATTGGGAGCTTCCATTTTCAGAGAAAGACCATAAATGCAGTGAGCTAGGGAAGGTACCAGTAGGAAGATCTTTCTGAAAATATTTTGTGCAGATGAGAGTGAGGACAGAAGGCTAAATGTGCAGCTTGGTGATACCACTAAAACCTCCTTAATGCAGTGAAGAGGAGAGGGGGAAGAAAAATATTTTCTTACTCTTTGCCTTTTTCCTGGTCTTGATAAAATTAATGTTGCCAAGTGTCAGTCTCCTCTGAATATGTGCAGGAAAAGCAGTAAGATAGGATAGGATAGAATAGCTTAGAATAGGATAGAATAGAATAAGCTGACCTCTCTACAGGTAAACAAAACCATCTCTCTTAGTGGTTCCTACATCAGCTTTCCTTTTCTCCCATGAAACAAATGTGCTGCAGCCTTACCTCCAGCAAATTGGGTAAAAATAAGCAAAAACAAAGTTCCGTTGCTGCCTGGGAGTGACTGGGGTGGAGGGGGGTTGTAGTCAGGAAGGTCCTGGTTGGCCGAAGCTCCATTTACACACTGACACACTACTCTCTTGTTAATATTTGCACTGAACTAGCCATTTTCTGTGCTGACATTTCGCATCTAGTTAAATGCCAACAAATCCAGAGAGATGTGGCTTTGACCTGTGGTTCTGCCCTTTTGGACAAGCATTGAATGCTATGGTACTTTGTTTCTAATTTCAGATATTACACATCTTAGATTCTTTCACCTCAGATATTTTTTAACTGGATGAAATGCTTCATACTTTATATCATCTCTGTTGAATATTTAACTGAGAAATGTTGTTAAAAAGGCATTTGGGCCCTGGTATGTGTATCTGAGTGGATTGAGTGTGGGCTGCAAACCAAAGGGTTGCTAGTTTGATTCCCAGTCAGGGCACATACCTGGGTTGCAGGCCAGGTCCCCAGTGGGGGCCACATGAGAGGCAACCACACACTGATGTTTCTCTCCCTCTCTTTCTCCCTCCCTAAGAAAATAAATAAATAAAATCAATCAAATCTTTAAAAAAAGGCATTTGGCTTAAATGATCTAAGTGCATGCATAGATATTTTTTCTGAAAGTAAAATGGCTTTGAATGATTTTTGTTATTATGAGGGAATTACAGAAAATTTGCCTTAAAATGCTTAAATGTAGTATTTTTTAAAGAGCTTATAGCTTTGCTAAATGAGAGGGAGAAAGTGCTGCTGAAAGTATTTAAAGAGTCTAAGGAGAGGGTATAATTATGGAACTTATAGGTTCTGGAGAACTTATAGGCACTGGAGGACAATCTTCAAACCTTGAGGGCTGCACAACTTACATCCCTGATGGGATGTAAGGGATGTAAGGGATGTAAATGAGGCATAAAGGAGTTTGGAGACTTTCTGCTTCTCCAGGCTGATCCGCAAATACAAATTGGAGGATGAGGGGGTGGATGTGTTCCACATCAACCCACCCCTTTCTCCCCAGTGGCCTCCTACAAGCCCTGCTTATGGCTCTGGGGCCACACCCTCTGACCATAAACCCAGGGCTAGGAGGCCTAGATGGTTGGCCCAAGGTAAACACTTCCTTCTCAACATTTTGAGGGTGGGACCCAAAAAGTTTAGTTAGTCTCCTCAGATGCTTGTTCTGTGAAGTGATGAACACCTGTTATTTTTTTTTAAAGAATGTATTTATTGGGAAGGGAAGGAGAGAGGGAGAGAAATATCAATGTATGGTTGTCTCTCATGGGTCCCCTGCTGGGAACTGGCCTGCAACTCAGGCATGTGCCTTGACTGGGAATCGAACTGTGATCCTTTGGTTTGCAGGCCCATGCTCAATCCGCTGAGCTACACCAGCCAGAGCTGAACAGCTGTTCTTATGTAGAAGGAGGGCCAGCAGGCAGAAGCTAGGAGGTCCTGACCCTAGCTCCTAACCTCCTAGTTGTTCGCTGCTATTTCTCCTGAGACCTACCTACCTGTACTACATGCCTTGGGGCCTGTGAATTATCCCAGCTTCCTTCCCTGAAGCTTCTTTACTTTAGCTAGCTCTGAGGGCTTCAGTTTTCTGAAATCAAGCAGTCTTTGATTAAACTGGTGGTTCCCTGACTTCCAAGAGATTTGGGTACCGAATTGCTTTAAATCAGGTCTTATTTTCTCAGCAACTTTCATTTTAAAATAAGAGATATATTTTCATTTAAAGAAGAAAAAGATTGGGAATGGACTGAGTTGCATGCATTTTGTTTCATGAAAGTTTAGAATTGTGGTAAGGCCATAGAATTCAGGCTTTTGAAATCCATTAACAATATGGAAATTGCCCTTTAAATTCTTTTCTTGGTTCCGAAGAATTTCTCCCACGCTTTCAGTCTTCTGGCTTCACATTCATAGGTTCTCTTGTTTGGCTTCAATAATTCCGCAAAACTTAAGTGCCTACTATATGCTTGGTATTTTATCATAAACTGTGAATTTATTTATTTTTTAAATGTATTTATTTAATTGTTGTTCAAGTACAGTTTTCTGTCCTTCACTCCCATCCCAGCCCACCCCCCCCCAGTGCTCCCCACCTCTCTTCCATTTCTACCCCCTTAGTTTTTGTCCAAAAACTGAATTTAGAGATTAGTAGCAAAATTTATTTTCCTTAAGGAACTCAGTTATTAGGCGATACAGTCAGGAAATTGATGAATATAATAGAATAGTAGGGTTCTGGCTGAGGTGGTCATAAGGTCTGGGAGCCCAGCGAAGTCATGGAGGAAGGCAGGTCTCTCATAGTCTAAGAAATGAAGTGCTTGAACAAAGCCTTGGTAGCTAAGCATGTCACTTCAGGTCCTCAAGGAA